TAATAATAATAACTTTATTTATAAAGCGCTTTCAAACAAAGTGCTAATCGTTACAAAAAGATAAAAATCAGTACAAAAATGTTGTAAGAACAAATAAAACGTTGAAAAAGGATAAAATACAAATGTAAAATTCAAGACACATAAGACAAGGTGTACTGGTGGGTCTTTAGCTTTAAAAACTTCCACTGAGCAGGCCAGCCTGATGGCTTGAGAGAGATCATTCCACAGTAAAGGGGTACAAAAGAAAAAAGCACGACCTCCGATAGTTTTACGTCTGACCTTAGGGATTACCAACAGACCAGTGCCATGAGGTCAGAGAGCACGAGATGGAATGTGAGGGTGGAGAAGGTCTGAAAGGTAGGGAGGCACAAGTAGGCCATGTGAGGCCTTATAGATGAGAAGCAACACTGAAATCTGCACGAACATGGCAGGGCAGCCAGTGGAGAGAATTCAGCACCGGAGTGATATGATCGTATTTCCTTGTTTTAGTTAAGCAGGTTGTAAGGTTAGATAGATCACCGCAGGTTCCAAGTGAAAAAGACATATGCAGTTGCAAATCATCAGCATAACAATGAAAGGTTACATTAAAATGACGCAAAAGAAGACCAAAAGGCAGCAGATAGAGAGAGAATAGCAGGGGGCCAAGCACAGACCCTTGTGGGACCCCATAGCCCACATTATTTATCTTAGAGAGCTCATTTTTAAAAGTAACCCTCTGTGATCTTCCAGACAGATATGATCTCAACCAGGAGAGTAAGTTTCCATTTAATCCAACTGAATGTTCATGTCTGTCCTACAAAACGCAGTGGTCTACTGTGTCAAATGCAGCACTAAGATCAAGCAACAATAYTGCTGAGGGACTATCGATGTCGGCATTTGCCAATAAATCATTGACCACTTTGGTGAGAGCTGTTTCAATAGAGTGGTAAGTTCTAAAAGCAGACTGAAATAATTCAAACAAGTTATTTGTTGACAAGTAAGCAATAACACGTGTCACARTCAAGGCCCGTGGGCCTAATGTGGCCCTCAGATGACTTCCATACGACCCACCTCTATGCCCACCCCATTGTACTTTTAAAAATAATAAGAATACATTAGTCTTATATAGCGATTTTCAAGACCCTCAAAGATGCTTTACAATTTAATAAGAGGATGTGTTAAAATGCTGTTTCTGTGATGTAAATACCACGTACAGCTCCGTTATCGTTTGTTAGCAGTGCTCAGCTGTAGCAATGAGACGAGGAACGTGATGTTTCGTGTTTAGTTGAAGTTAAACATGAAATGTTAATTACTARTGGCCCTTTGAGGGCCAACATAACGCTCATGTGACCTTCAGTGAAAATTAATTTGACAAATCCCGAACTATAACGTCAATATGTTGTAGTTTGTCAAATTTTTAGTCACTCATGAATATTTATTTTTGCATTCAGTTTTGTTGAGTTTTATCTCTTGTAATTTTTGATTGACTGCACCGTCTTTGTGTTTTAAGTTTTCTTCATTCGTGCGAACACGAGAATTTTCCATAAGTGATGTTCCCACACAGCATCTGCCAGTTTTTTTTTTTTTTTTGTCCTCAAATTAACTTGTTTGGAATGTTTTAGTTTCCTGCTTCTTTGTATGTTTTATGTTACCAACATGTTTCTGCAGATTTTTGTCGAGATGATGATTAACTTTATTAAAGCGAATCAGGTGTCGTGGACCAGTGGCACATTTTGCACATTGACTGTTTGCCCCCAAGGTCCAACACTAGTAAACAARGTGGGATYAGGAATGAGACAACAAATTGGATTTCTCGGAACTGACTTACCTGGAAGGGAAGGGGGAAAATGTTGACGTCACACAGCTCAGACGATATAAAGATACTCAGTCAGCTCTGAACAGCACCACATCTTCTCTTCTGACMGACAGACTGCTGGTCATCACTCAAAGCTGTGAGTATTTTTTATCTAATTCTGAAGAGTAGTTTGATCTATACTCAGTGTTGTGCTCTATTCAAATAATATTGTTTCTCACAAAAACTCAACTTCATTTTTGATTTTACAGGAAAATGAGCAGAAACTCTATGTCCAAAGGTAGTGAGCTCCGTAGAGGAGACAGCCTTGTGTCCAACAATGGACAGTACAAGGCCATCTTCCAGGTGATCAGACCTTTTTTTCCTCAGTTCAAAGCTTTTGAAAGTCTTTTTTTTAACCTGAGAGTTAAATATTCCTGTWTCTTCCTGCAGGATGATGGAAACTTTGTCATCTATGGCTGGAAGGCCCTGTGGGCCTCAGACACTGAGACAACCGGAGCTGCCCGCTTGTGCATGCAGGABGACTGCAACCTGGTCATGTACAACCAGGCGGACGCCCCTCGATGGCAGACCAACAGTCACAGGGACGGCGACAACATGTGTCATCTTCAGCTGACTGATGACGGCAAACTGGTCATCTTCAAACATGCAGAACTAATCTGGAACTCTGCCAACTCAAAGGGCATGAAGTGAAAAATTATGTGAGTTTTCTGCTTCATAAAGTCATTTTTGACAGTAATTTCTAGATTTGGAGCCAAATTTGACTTTGTTTTGATGCTATCATGCAGTTCTGTTGTAAAACTCAAAGRAGAAATAAACAGTAAAACTGAAAGAGAATATTACTTGTCTTTTGTCATGACTTATCTTTGGCACTTTTTTTGTTTTATGGACTCAGACTTTGTTAAAATATTTTAATGTGGTCTCAGACAGTAGTTTTATACTTTTTCACACTGACACCGCCATAACAATATGTTTATGATTTATTCTGCAGCCCTGAGATAAAAATTTGAAARCTGATTCTGTCAGTTCTCACTCCTTCATTCACAGATTTTACTTCTGGTGTGTTTAACATCAGAACCACCAGAGGGCAAACTGGGTTTGTGCAAAAAAATAAAATAATAACAACTGAGTAATAAATGCACTGATTCCTCATGCAGACTGAGTTTTTTTTTTCCTTTTTCTTGGTTGAGCTCAAATCTGTTTCTGTTTTAATGCTCAGAGACTTACACACCCACCAGACATTTGTAAATCTTGATAAAACTGACTTTTTTCCATCACTTTCAATCAAAATAGGAAACAAATAAATAAAAACCATCTAAGAGGTCAAAACAAATTTCCATATAAATGTTAACAGTTTTTATTTATTTAAGATAACAGACCCAGAAAAAGGGGGATKATTTTTTCTCTAACTTAAAATCTCTCAAAAACATTTTCGTTGTTAATAATACCAACATATGTGGGGGAAAAAAGGACTTCTAGCTCATAAATGGAGAAGGGGGTCCCTGCAGTCACTGAGTAGGAATTTCTTATTATGTGGGAGGAGTTGGCCCAAGACATGATTGGTCAGATTGACGGTGGGAGTGTGAAGAAGCTCGGGGCAGCGGGGAGTAGCTTAGTCAAGTCGGGCAGGAAGCAACGTTTTTTAAAGATAGACAGGAAGGTGCTTGCTGCACGAAATTTGAAGTGAAATAGTTTAAATGTTCACAATAATTTTTAATTGAGACATTGTTCTGTTGTAAACTGTACATAGACAGTCAATAAATCATATTAATTTACTTTTATCATTGCTTCCTCTTAAGTTGCCCCACATGACAAATAAATCCGACCAATCACGGTTAGGAAAAACTCCGCCCACKCACCAACTCCGCCAATCASGAGTAGGYCCATCTCCGCCCACWGGACAACATATACTGCAAGGACACCTACTTGCATAAATGACCGAGAAAAATAATTAGGTGTCCATGAGATAATTTTGAGCAGAGATGCAGACATTGTTGGAGTCAGATAGGAATATGCAGTGTTTGTGTTTTAAATGTTCAAAAGTAGTTTTTTTTTTTTTTGGGTGTAGGTTTAATCCAAAGAATATACCTCAATGGTTCAATCTAAATGATTTGTTTTTCATATTACGAGGTGAAAAAAAAATTCTCTCAGTGTCACGCATTGATTTTTTTAATGTCACAGATGGGGCTCCATAGAATAGATATAAAGCAACACCTGTGTGTAACATGCCAGTTCCTTGTTATTGTTTATGTATGCCGCACACACATGCTCTCTGGAATTGTGCAGAACATTAATTTGCTCCAACTGATGAGTAGCCTATTTTGCTGTTTGTATGATCTTGATTATAGAGCGTTCTGTTGGAGGCAAGTTGTTTTGCCACACAAAAAATGGTGTTTGRTAACTGGGATTTCACGTATAGTAGCGGCCCTGATGGTCACTGTTACAAGAACAGGAAACTGTTTGCTTCCATCATGCTGTGGGAGGTTTGTGACCATGAGGGCCGTTTCATTGATACATATATGTGGGCTGGCCTGGGTCTGTCCATGATGTGAGGGRGCTACGCTACAGGTCAGCCTACCCTCCTCCAGAGCACTTCATCCTTGCTGATGGAGGATTTCCCTCATCACTTCATACAAGAGGCCAGTGCAAGGTGTGGCTGCACAGCGCTTTACCTGCGTCATTCCAGGGCATGCTATATTATAGAGTGAGCCTTTGGGATGATGAAAAGCAGGTTTAGAGCCATCTTCCTGAAAACACTAGAGGTYCAACACACCTTCGCCCCAAACTGAACATTTTCAGGTTATAACAGCYTGTGCCGTCCTTCATCACATCTGCKRTGGGGCTGGTGATATAGTTGCCCCAGAGGACAAGCCTGAGGATGAGGCTGACCAGGAAGTGGGGATGTCCTAGTCTGGAGGGACCAGACAGCAGCAGAGGTTTCTGCCCTGGAGGKGYCACCAGTGGATCARGTCTATTGTTGAGGCAAGTAAAACACGCAGCAGCAGAAACTGATGRTAGCTTAAAATATTCTATTAGTAACACTTTCTTAAATCGTGACATAATAGTGACATGGCAGCCATCGAGTCTGCCAGCCCTGCAAGCCCAGCTCGTGGACAAAGWGATGGACAGTGGACCAATGGCATGTCAACGGCTCTGCAGCCCACCCCAGCTGATGTCCTGCTGAAGAGGAAAAAAACCAGGGTCATCTTCTTGGTCTGTCCTCAGTAACAGAGGCAATTAGGACGAAGGGGTTGATTGAATGCCTCTGTCCAACACCTCATCCATGAGGACAAACCAGTTTCTGCAGTGGGTTTGCTGCCAGCTCCCTCACGTGACCCTGGATACTTGCAATCCTAAAACACAAAGTCATTCATAACAGCAAAAAAATATAAGTCAGGTTTTTTGTTGAAATGGGATAATTTGGAATCAGTTACAAAAATAATTGAAATTATATTTACTTACTTTGTATTTTTCTTTTCGAATGGTCCCACTACTTTTTGCCTTGCAAGGCTGTCACGCTTCCTTGCAAGTCCATTTCCTCTAGAATTTCCCAAATAACAKAAACAAAGGGCAACACAGATGTTAGTGGTAGGATAAAGAAAAGCTTGAACRTTGTCAGCAGACCGTAAAGTCTTACAAATAGTATCTGACARGCAAACAACATGGCCAGAATTACGTGGACTTTATTAACTGAGTGATTCAGTTGAACATTTTGCTCCATTATAGGAAAGACGAGTTTCCACTTAACGTTAGCCCCCCCCCCGCAAAAAAACAAAACAAACAACAACAACAAAAACAACCCTACATTCTTTTTGTAGTTTATTTTTTGTAGCTTATCTTATATTTAGAACCATACTGTGACTGAACTGCTCTGTGATTCAATGAATGGTCAAATATGAAGAATATAGTATTAAATGATTATATGAGCTCTCTAAATAATATACTTTTGAAAAAAAAGTTATTTTAATAGATAAATCAGTCAGTCTAACATAAAACATGTAGTTATTTTGTGAAGTACAAAATACACATTTGGTATATATTTTTAAATATAAAATTATAGTACATACATAATGTGTGCGTTTGCACTGAAAAGTTATGAAGATGGTTAAATAATTGTATGAATATATCTGACTCAAGACTTGCCAAAAATGTTTAWTAAATATTTTAAAAGCACTAAAATGACAAATATAAGCTACATAAAATCTGTTCAAAATCTAAACTATGAACTTTGACAGCTTGGCTGTAGCTCTTCTGTGTAGAGTTTCCTCCAGTTTCCTCCCTCAGTTCAAAAACCTGCCTGGTAGATGAAATGTAGATTTTAAATTGAGTTCAGATGTGAGCATGTGTGGTTGTCCATCTTGTTTATCTCCACGTGGTTCTGTGATGAACATGGTGACCTGGGCAGGGTGGACCCTGCCTCTCGCCCCTTTGACCTCTGGACCAGAGATGGTTGAATTATCTTATATTTATTTATTCAAAGATGACAAAAAAGAAAAAAACAAAAACCTTTGCAGGAAGATAATTTGCCTGAATCAAATCATTTTCAGATTTTGTAGTTGCATTCAGATGTTATATAATGCATTCAGTTCCTACTAGATTAATTTTCAGCTGTGTATGTTTAAAAATTACTGAATTATAGCCTTTTGTAAAATTAGCATCAGCATTAGGTTAATTCATTCTTGGTCATACCAAAGCAAACTTTRGTTCAATAAAAAGGCTGAATTATAGCCATTAGTCTCATCATTTGCAGTGAGCATGTTCCTACTTGGCTAGCACAAACATTCAGATCAATGTTTTGTAAAACAGCMGAACCAGAGGCATTTGAAACTAGCTGTGGTGGCCATCTTGAATTTTCTAATCCAGAGTAGTTTTTATTTTTYTTTGTATGTGCCAGACTAAAAAAACACCTTGGCCACCCCTTGCCAATAAAAGAGCAGCTTTGCCCCTGTCTGCCAGTTCATATTGCTTCACTCACAGCTTGTGCTTCTGGTGTGTTTCACATCTGAACCAGCAGGTGGCCCAATGGGTTTGTACAAAACAACAACAACAACAACAACAACAACAACAACAAAAGCTAAGGTAATAAATGCACTAAAACCACACAGACTCACTGTTGTATTTTTTTTTATTGTTGAGCTCAAAGCTGTTTCTGTTTTAAGATTCAGTCATGAGCTTTAACCTGCATGCCTGTTTCAAACGAACGTTGTTTTTTGATGAAACTGCTTCATTTCTCTTCTCCTTCAGCCACAAAATGTAAAATTAGTTTTTATTAGTTATAAAAGAACGTTTTATAGATTTTTCTTTTGAATAGTTCATCAAACTATTATTGTTCCTGACTGTAATCATGTCAAATGTATTAAAACACGACCAAACTTTGCTTCACTTTTTTCATTTTTCAGAGCAGATTATAGATTCAAACTCTGGAGTCTCAACTCCTCTTCCAGATTCATTTAACAAAAGTTTCTATATTAATGGAAAACATTGTATGAACTATATAAAACCAAAATTGCACTCTTGTGTTGTAAACCTGGGATTTTGGGACTTAGTTTTTTTCCCGCTGTAACAGGAAAATAAACTTTTATTTTCTGTAACTTAAAAACATCTTAACAGCTGGAATATTGATCTAGTTGAAACTATTTGTACATTTTCTTTTCACATTCACTTTTGCAAACTGAAGAGTAAACAGCCGAAAGGAGAAGAAATTAAAATGCTTCAAATTCACTGAGTTTATTCCTGTGTCTAAGAACCGTCACTGAGCTTAAAATTTTACAAATTTAAACCTCCTTTTGATCATCTACCAGTCTCAGTTTTTAAAACTACATACCCTCTTTTTACGT